ATTCGTAGTAGCAAGCGAGCTAATAAGGAAGATCCTATATCCTTATAATTTGATATATCGAATCTTTAATAGCTATCAGTTCTCTGAAATTAAGGATTATGAGGCTAACAGTAGTTGAGATAATCGCATAATCGAGGATATTGCCATATCTACTAAATAATTCCTCCAAGAAGCAGATATCCATCTCGAGGCATTCCTGAAACTATAGAATTACTTAGCTATTCTTTACCGTTAATCAAGAATAATTAAACTAAGACTCATAAATTCCAAAAGATGTTTCTTCTCCATCTATGGAGCCGTTGCGCAGATATCCAAATAGAAAGAATTTTATTCGAAATCTCGAGAATTTATTCTGCGATCCAAGACCTCCGATCCGATTTTTCCGATTCATTTGTCTCTCTTAGGCCAATTATTGCGGACGAATCCTAAAGAACCGTAGACCGATACGACCAATCTATAAATTCAGAATATGCAGATAAACCTTCGCATTCGCCCAATCTTCTACGCATGCATCCAAAGATAAATGAATCATGTAGAATCAAAAGCCGCGGATACCCAAAGAGAAAGAAATAATTCGAAATCCCAAGAAATTATTATTCCTACGGCCCAAACTCTCCAGCCCAGAATTTCCGTTTCCTTCATCTCTCTTAGGCAAATTATTGCACCAGCGTATCGGGCGTATAACGACCTCATTATCCGGGTCTGCCTGTTCCGCCGAGCAGCCTCGCGCGCAGCCAAAGAGAGATAAATCCCACGAAAAATCGTTCCGGGGGGAAGGGCCGCGCGACAAAAAATCTCCGAGATTTTTTGGTCGCGCCGCCCGCATCAAAAATCTCTGAGGTTTTGGAGCCTCTAGCTTTTCTGAAGGGTTCTAAAATCTCCGAAATTTTAGAGCCTCTAGGGAGCCAGCAGGGGGCATTTTAGAGGTGAGCAGGCCGCGCGCGGTCGAAATTGCCGCAAGTGGCCGCGCCGTAATATTGAGGTATTTTCCTTTTACTCCTAATTTAAGGGAATTAGTCTGGAGTTCTAGGATATCATCGATCGTAAGAATTACCGCCTAGATTAAATGAAATATACGATAATTTGAAAGCGATCCCCACGCCAATATCCTAATTGACTGACTGCCGAAATGGATGTCACTCCCAAAGACCCCGTTCCTGTAGCAGATTACGGTCCCCCCCAGGGACAAGAGGCAACGTCTTCTCAACGGAGAATTTCGCCAAAACCCGTCGGCCGTTATTAGAGAATAACGCTTGGTCAAGAGCGCACTGGCCTCACGGCTTGCCCATGCGTAGATATTTTCGAGCGTTTAAGCCGCTAAAGGGCGGCCCCAATCTGCTCCCTCGGATCATCCCGCGGCAAAAGCAGGTCAGCACGAATGCCTCGCCGATACGACCAAGGCCATAACAGGCCAAAAGCGCAATCCCAGCAAAGACCCTCCGGCCGAAGTGCCAAGCCAGGCACGCCATGGCACGTAGGAACGGTTCTGGCAAAGGCGTCAGATGACTAGGAGGTTCGGCATGCCCCCATCGTGTAATAGATTCCCTGGCAACAGAAATAACAGGTCTCAGCCCCAAGTACTTGCACTGAGCAGCCAGGATGCTATGCCGAAGTGCCGTGATCTGCCAGAAATATACAACCGTTGCCGTGCGAGCGCAAGGACGTGGCGTAGGGAAACTAGCAAAAAGGAAGGAAGGGACCGAGGACAGCCAAAATAAAAAAAAATCACAACCCCTATCCCTTAACCTAATAGCGGCAATAACCAGCAAGGGCTGGTCATCAAGCTCAGGCCCCACGCGCCGAATATGCCCATGTCTAGCAGGAGAACCTGGGTACTCGGCTTCCCCAGAGCATTCAGAAGCTTGTTTAGACCTTCCAGATAGATTTATCGGATGTCTCGTGAGAAGAAAGAAATCTCAGAAATCCGAAGAATACTCCAACTAGATATCTCCAGAATCGTTTGAAGGACAGAGCACCACAAGAGGAATCGGTGTCCAGTCGTGAAACCCCGCCACCGCCCGCCACGAATTAGACGAGAAGGAAGACGCCGAACGAAGCCTGTTTGGCGGTCAAGGACCAAAAAAAGTACGCCTGCAAGGCGCGGCCAGGCGGCTATGACAGCCTTGAGCACTGAACAATCTCCCGGCAAAGGCTTCTAGGGTGAGCCTAGTCAATATGAATCCAAGAAGCCCTATACTAAGAGGACATGCCTCGGATGAAGTCGGCCGCACTTGCAGAAAGTCCGGGACGCCGGCCAGCCGCGTGTTGGCGTAAGGCGAGCACACTTGAGCCAAGGCATGCCGTATCGACGCCAGTCAAAACGGCATAGGTCAATTTGGAGGATGAGGGGCCGTAAGCGTCCCATTCCGGAAGAAATCACAGGAAGGATCTGTCAGGATTCTGTCCAGGAAGGCTTGTGAGCGCTATGCTCGAAACGTCGGAAAATTATTTGGCCAGGCGTCTTGCGAGTTCCCTGATACAACCTGCTGAAAAGCCCGATCACCTATCTCAGGGAGAATCTTTGGCTAAAACCTAATCCGCCAAGCCGGGTGAACTGCTCGTGAGAAGGACCTGCAGGCAGGGGCCGCGCCAAAGGGGCCAAAAGCGACAGAATCAGCGAGTCGTTCGACCAAGGCGCACAGGAGCTGAGTCAAGGCCCTCTTCCCTGGACCTGCGAAGCTCAAAAGTGAGAGTCCAAGGAGCCTAAAGCTTGATAACCTCTTTCGACCCCACCCTCCCCAGAGAAGAGATCAAGGTAGCAAGGCTGACTAAAAACCAAGACGCCTTCACGGGGAAAGAATTGCCTTCGCAAGACGCGAGAGAGAAGCTCTTGCGCATTCAGCCCATCGAGGTCAATAACGACAGGAGGCAATGGGCGCAGCCTAAAGGATTCGAGGCCGGCGGCCAGGAGGAGGAACTTTGGAAGGCGGAGGCCGATCAGTGTACAAAACGGCAGGCAGGAGCTTAGAGGGGATCAGCTCAGGGAGCAAAGTCCTATTCATCCCGGCGAAGCCTCAGGCCGGCCAGCAGCATGAGGCACCCACCACTCAGGAAGACCTTCAACAGCTCGGCGCAGGGGAACTTCCCGAGCGGGGTCATCAGCCGGGTTGTCGTGCGAGCGGAAGTAGCCCAGCTGAAGTCCCGACGAAATCACAACCTGCGAATCAAGCGGGACTAAAAATCGCGCGAAGAGGCCAGGCGCTCCTCGACGCACAGATAGGCAGCAAACTCCTTCTTTTTTGTTTATGTGGGTGCTGGCCCGGGCATCGCCACAAAATATGCGACAATAGATTAGGCTGCGAGCAAGGCACCGCCGGAGCGGATGGGGAGTGAGGGGCTCGCCCCCCTGGGAAGTTCGAGCTCCTCTTCCACAAGAGCCCGGGCCCCGCAACCAAGCTTGAAGCTCACTTAACAGCTTTTCCCAAGAACTTTTCCTCAATGAGTGGCGCCAAACCCTCTAAGCAACCTTAAGAGACAGCTGGGTTTGCACAGCGGCAACCTTGCAATCGGATGCATCGGTGGCGAAAACGCTGTCAAGCACAGGGGCGCGCAAGTCGGCTACGCAGGGAGCCCAAAGCACATCAACCAGCACATGTGAGAGCTGCAGCAAATCGTTGCCGAAAGTGGCGCGAAGGGCCTGAAAGGCCAGGCTTAGCAGCGCCGCCGAAGGAACACAGAGGTCCAGCAGCCAACAGGCGATTCCAGCAGAGGCCTGGTGCGCAAGCCAGGAGCAGCCACACGGCAGGTAATGCAAGTGAGGGGCCCAAGCCTGGAAATGTTGGCACGCACCAGGCCAAGAATGAAGCCACGGGCTCATCTCAAGCCCCTTTTGAATGGTTTGCTAGGAGGCTGGCTTCGGAGAAAGCCTGGTGAGCTCGCCCAAGGTGCTCGAGTCCCAAACGCGGTCCTTGGGCAGCTTGCAGGTGACAGCTGACCACTCGCTCCAGAATGACCAAATCGTCTATCACCACTCCTCTGCTAAGCAAACCCCTAGGAGGCGGACTTTCGGGAGAAACCAGTTCATGCGGGAGGAGGGAGCAAAAGCAGTCCCATCCCATTCCCAAAAGAACAGAAGAAGGACGGACCTCAGGACACCCAGGCAATCCGGACACACAGGACAGTCAAGGACAGGGAGAGCGGCCGGGTTGGCAAGGAAGCGGAAAAGTGCAGCAACGACAGAGGCTGAAGAGAAACCCGCGCCCCCTACAAGGGCTAAGTCGGCTAAGTCCCTCAGGAACCGAAAAACTTGGGTCGTATGCAACAAACATGTTCCACATGCAGAACAATTTACTTCCAAACCCTCTCTAAGTCCAAAGCAGCTTGTGCTAAGAACCATCCCAAACCTGCGGTCAATTCAACCCGAACATCCGTCGGAAAAAGCAGCTGCGCCATGCAGGTGCGTTGTTCGCTGGTTGCGCTGTCGACGTCACTTCTGCTAGCTTCAAGGCTGGTCACGGGAGCTTTTTGCGAGGAAGGCCATTATGGCCCCAAGATCCCCGAGGCTCGAGTCTTCTCCTAGACTTGTTCAATGCCTAGAGCCCTGCCGATTTCTTTGCCAGCTTTCATGCTGAGAGTCGATACGAGCCGTGAGAACCCTCAATACTGTACACAAGCGAGCTGTCAATTCGGACTTGCACTTCGCAGTTGTCGCTAGCAAGCGTCCGGATGTTGCGTAACCTGCATCAGGGAGCGAAGCTGCTACCTGCTACAGCCCCTGGTTACAAAGCTTCAGGGTTTGGCTACTGGAACAAGTATTCTTCACATTTTCATGTTGCGAACACAACGGGCTTTGAACGGACAATAGTCAACACATGCTTACCGACCCGTCCAGCGTGTCCTCGGCATCTGTGCAAATGAAATCTTGCAGTTGCAAGACTGACCTATTCAGCTGGGTGCAAAAGAGTGGCATCAGCAGACGAGGACGTCGGAGCAGCCAGCTGTCTTGAGCTCTTGTACAAGACGCGCTAGACGCGTCGCACACAAGTCTGATCCGATTGGCTCTATGGCTCGTTTGTGAGAAGTCCGACCGGGAGCATGCCTGTTTCAGTGGCAGTTGGCGCAAACTGATTCAGCTGGTCGCTACACATGCATTCACGCCAACTGAACGCAACTTGTCTGCGACTCATCGGCCAGAAACCGAGAAATCAGATGATCCCCATGCAACTGGCCTGAGACATGCGGCTTTGACCTCTCCACATCCTGGTTCTGGTCAGGAATGCTGCGCAGAGCTTCCTCCAAAGCCTCGCATGAATCTGGCAAGAGGAACAGCAGGACATCACTACAAGTACTTCTGATCCGGGAACGTTGTAGGGAGTGCGTGCCCAGGCTAGCACGGACTTGATTTCTAGTGGCCCTATTGGATCTCAGGTTCATTCCCGACTTGCAGGGTGATGTAGCAAATGCAGTCGTTGCGATGTGGGCTTTCCTGCGTACTACGCTGCAGAGGCACACGGCCAATGCTGCCTTACAAGGCACTCATGAAATGGATGCGGAGCTGATAGACCTGGAGTTGAGGGAAATCATCCCGCATGAATCTAAGATCAAAGGTTTTGTTACGCATGGCCGACGCCCATTTGCCTTCATCCACGTCTGCGCGGCCCATGACTCATGATGTATGAGTTTAGGAACCAGAACGTGTGCTTCTTGGAGCTTGTTCCACTGGTGGAGTGCATTGCAGGGCGTTGTTTGGGACTCTGATTTCGGAAGCAATCCTGTGTTCAGCGTGATGGAAGCAGAATGAGCAGATCCGCAGGTTGGCCGTAGTGGCTTCGTGGACAGGGCTCAGGCAGTTCTCTAATAGCAGCTGTCTTCCTACCCGAGCAAATTTCCTTCCTTCTACATCTGGAACAAGCTAGGCAGCTTCAGTTATGGCGGCGGTTTCACTTGCTTTTGAAATTCGAAGAATAGAGCAATGCGAATCAAATCATCTGACATGTTTTTTGGTGTTCAAACCATTTAAGATTATACTCTGCATACAAAATACCTGACCCGAAGAAGGATATCATCTTACTCATTGTTGGAAACTGTCATATCCCCACTAAAACCACAATTTGTCTGGTTTTCTTTCCTCATGGCTCGTCAGGAATGACATTCACCAACCCTCCAAACACATCCCGAAACGTGTTATTGCAAAAAATCACAACAATTGGTTGCCTGCGTTCTCCCCTTATTGACCGGTGCAATAACTTGCAACACCAGGCAGCAGCCAGGATCATGTCATGGGTCTTGACTTTCAGAATCTTCCGCATTCCGCCCAGAAGCCGATGTCGGACCAGTATTTCTCTGGGAGCCGCCTATTCATACCAGGCCAAGATATGCAAGAGAAGGAGCAGTCGTGCCAAAAGGAAGCGGGCCACAAAGTAACCCTTTCTGGCATACTGGATTGCCTTATACCACAGTAAGCAGCCCACCTGCGCAAACTACCATGACATGTTCATGCAGCGGGAGCTGCTTTCCCACGGCCTTCATCAAGTGCTCCACAATGCATCGTTTTGGCAAAACTCTTGCCTCCTCGCAGACGTCCAGTCTCATACTACCCACGGTTCCAGACAAACAGACAAGGTTAACATCTGCAGAAAAGGGTCTCCATGCTTTGTGGAAAGCAAGGAGCCGGGCATCTGGCATTGCTCAAGGGGGGCTTTGTGGCTGGAAAGCCCTCCATGACTCGTGAGTTCTGTAGCTTGTATTGAACCACCCGCTGGGGACTCGGGCTGAAAGCTTTAGCCCAGGTTAGGGTGGTGGGGTCAGGACGGTTCAGGCCTCAAAAAAAACTGCTGCCTGTCTATAGCCGGGCACGGTCAAGCAACCTTACTTAGAGAAGCCTGCCCTGCACTTCAACCATAAGATTTAGGCCCAAGAATAGCCAAGTGACTCAAGGTTAGGGCAATCATCCAGCCTTTTAGACCACACAGCCTCCAAGGTCATCAATTCGGCGTCAGGCTCGGCAGGGCCCGGCTTCCCACAATCCCAGCAACCAAGTGGGAGCTCCACATCATATTTGAAATCCATGTGCCTGATTAGGATTCTGTTTCTGGGGTTGGTTGATGTCCTGCGTATGATGTTACTCTGTCACCGAACTTCCTCTTATCGCTCCATATTGCCACGAGAACTGAGCACAAACCTTCTAGAATTACAAGACCACCAGTACGAAGTTGTCAAATGAACACACAACTGAAACACTTTACGGGATTCCACAACCATGGCTGCCAGCACGCAAACTTTCTCCAAGGGGCTCATGAAGATGAGGATCATCCTGGATGCACTCGAGAACATTTACGGCTCCCTGTACCAGGCACCCATCCTGCACTGCAGCTTTGTCAGTCCTACAGTTTTCTTCATCAACGAAGAATCGACATGAACTTGACTGGCTTACCTTAAACGGAGAGCAAGTTCTCGCGTTCGGCACTTGCGCGACCACAACTGTTCAACAAGCCTGGCCTTGCTTGCGAGCAGAACGACAACACGCTCCTGGATACCTGTGAAGAGGGACTGCCAATCACAAAAAGCAGCTTCTGAACACTGAAAGCACCAACACTGACCATAGATTTCGCCTGGATTCCGGCGGCTAATGCTAATGCGGCAGCCGGTGGCTCTCTTCATCTCACGCGTGTTGCTCCCATCACGGCCGATGATCTTGCCAGCAGCTGAATTTGGAACCACAAGCTTGACAACCTCGGGTGATGCCATTGCCACACACTCGACGGCTGTTGACCACCAGCGTTTGGGTCACACTAATGCACATCAGCTGGGATGTAGTACATTCCATGCCCGTAAATGCTTACAACGAACGGATTCTGATACATAGATCAGCGGGAGTGAGGACATGGTGACAAAAGGCAACAGAACTGTCAAGTTTTCGATAAGGCACAAAATGATGGTTTTGCTGCGCTTGTCCAGGCTGCTGGCTCATTCTCCACATCTCTCTCACAATAGCTTCCACGCCATTGACGAAGCCTCAGTGAATGCACAGTCAAGCTGCGAAAGTGAAATCCGTGATGTTATGCTACTTGTTATCACCTTTTCCCCCAAGAGTGCCCTCCCATGGCCCTCATCCTCACCTGCTCTGAGCGCAAATAACTTCACAGTGATATGCCCTGACGGATCATGGCTGGCAGACCTATGTAAGTAGTCCGAATTCATTCTGGCACCGAGGTCAAGAACGATGAGCTTCGTCTTCGTGAGGAGCGATCGGTTAGGGTTGCACGGAATGATTTCAGAGGTTGCTTAGCTGGACAACAGCGAATTAGGGGTAAGGCCTTAAACAATCGACATGGGTAGGATTGCTTCCCAGGCAGCTGCTTTTGGCGACAATTGCCTCCTGCTAGCCATCGTTTCTCGGGTAGATAGACACTGAACCGTAAAAACAGACCTTCTGCAGGCATGGCCCAAATTGCCCTGCTCAGTAACAGTCCGCACTGGGGCTCAGTTTCGGAAGCTGCTTTTCAGACTGCAAAATCTTCTCAAAGCAGAACACATAAGTCTCTTTGCTGTCATACTGGGGTTTCCTGTTCAGGTTCTTGCGATTTCCCTAGTGCTGAAGAGCATTTTGCCACTACATGATGTGGCAGGACAGCAGACATAGTTTAAATTGTTGTGCGCCGCCGAGTACGTTCAATTCTGTCTGCGGCAAAGCCTAGTATTCGCACGCGATAGCCGACCCAGACACCAACTGAGGTCACCACTTCTCTTCGTAGTGGCAAAGATGGTCAGCATGCGATCTTGAGTGCCTGCGTATCAAGCATCAATGAATGATCCGCTCACTATTACTGGTGCTGGAAATGACCATTGAGTGAAGCAACAACTCACATGCTCGGTGGAGCAGCAATCAGTTGGAATGTCACGTGCCGCACAGCAAATTGCGCAGCTCTGTCGTCCATGAGCTGCTGTTAGGCTTCATGTCGCACCCACTGTTCCAAGAACACCTAGGGCACGTATGCCTGCGGAGCATGATGCTGCTGATGCGCCATTTGCGTAAGCTGCCAGTGCAGTTGTCAGTTCCTAGCTGCGAGCAACTCCAGCGAAGCCTCAACTACAAGTACCTATATGTGTCTTCAATACACCCAAGCATCGGAGCAATCAGTCACAGACATGAGACATGTTGCAGTGTGCACTATGTCACTGTGCATTGCACCTGGGAAAAAGACATCGACGCCGGACATGCTCATGCTTGTCTGAGTGAGCCTGGGCTTTCCAAGGACATTGACCAATACATCTCGCATGAGCACTAGAACGGCACATACATAGAGTCTTGAAAAATCACGCGCTCAGGGCTAGACTTTTCGATCTGCGTCATGTTCTTACCCCTCTTGCCGATCATCCCTCCTAGTGCCAGTTGCTCAAGATGACGCAGACTCTTTATCTACATCAGCACGTTGAGATGCTGCAGCAGCATGCCAGAACCATGCTTTTGGAAACCCTTGCTTTCAGTATTGGCTCTCAGAATCTGCAGGATTCAGCATCAGTGTGAAGGCTGACTTACGAAGCTAACATCAGAAGTGCGACGCACATGCGGCCGCGACAGTGCCTAAGAAAAAAGAAATCCAAAATTGTGAAAGTGAGAAAGCTGACCAACCTGAGCAGACAGCTCCGTTACTTCTGTTGTCAGTCAGCATCGTCCTGCATAGTACGCGGGCACCTTGGTAAGCGGCTACGAGAGAGGAACCAAGCCAGCAGTGAACCTCTCTGCACAGGTGACAAGAACAACAACCACCAGCCCGCAAACTTGCATGGCCACAGTTCATCGAAAAGTGGATCATGGGCTGTGCTCTGGAGCATTCCGTGGAACTGTCAACGCGTGGTTGCAGCAGTGTTGCAGCTAAACAGTCCTCCCCTCCTATGCTCTCTGGGCGACCCAAGGGGCAAGGAGCTTGCAGCAGAAGTTATTAGGCGACACCTTGCAAGCAGGTGAGCCGGACCATGAGCAGAAACCCAAGCTGCAAAGAATGTTGTCACGATGACACACACACACACACCCACCTGCCGGGTGCAAGAGGACTTACGCGAACTGGTGAACTAAAAAAGCTGCTGAATTGCATGCAAAGGGCTTCGTCAAGCACAAGGCATTGAGCGGCACGAGCGCTGCTGATCACAATATCGACGAACAGCTCCTTCCAGATCAAGATAGCAAATGCATATGTAACAGCAGGCCAATTCAGAATTCGAGGCGTCGATGACACATGAGCTGCGATATCTCAATTTCTAAAATGACCTGTACCTGTGCCGGCTCGCTTGACGGCCCATGGTGGCCTGTGAAGGCCACCCATCTCAGTCGTTGCTGCTAGCTGCAGCTAATCTTTGCCAATCAGGCGTCCATTGCACATCCTGCTGATCAGTGACAAGGCGTCCGGGCTTTGCTGGCCCAAGGCGCCTGGTCTTCAAGCCACTTCGCTTGAAATGGCTTGTTCACTCTTGTAAGCCGCGCGTGTACTTTTAGGTACGCACAGTGCACGGCGCAGCATGCTGCGGCGATCACAAACCACAAGTTGCTAACGCAGAGTCTCCTGCTCAGGCTCATCCAGCGACACTTGCGAGTACATCTCCTGCACAAGTTCTTATGCAGGTAGACTCAGCCATGCTTCCACTCCGAGTCTTTCCTGGCAGGTTCATGACCCAAATTTGCTGTTCTCTGCCCACTACCTAGCAGCTGAGAGCTTCAGGGCTTACTTGTTTCAAAGGCACAGGTTGAAGCCGGTCAGCCTGGCCCTTGGTTTTGCAAAGGATGCAGTCAAGCACTGGCTGTCCTTCTATCAAAAAATGAGTAGCGTTTTCTTGGTCGTTGAACCCAGTAAGTTTGAATTCCTTGTATAAAATACTATGCCCCAAAAAGAGGATATAATCTTAGTCTATATTGGGTATCATAGTATCCACGAATAAAGTACTACTCAGAGATCTCATGCACGCACGGATGGACAGACAGACGAAGGTAGGGACTTGCCAACGGGCTATTGTTGCCTCAGGTGCCGTACTTCTCAGGAAACCTCCGCAAGCTCGATGGTTTGCTCAAGCCAGCCGCGGACTAGCCGGTGCTCGCATGGAGCACATGGGCCAGACACCACGGCTGAGTCCAGTAGTGGGCCCATGCATCTTCCAATCAACCCTGCACCCTGTACAATCTCGTCTACGAGGATACGTCTTCATGGCCAAAATTGGCCAGCCGATGTTGGAGACAGCCGAGACCTCTCGGTGAAGCTGATTTGGCGTAACCGACATTGATCGACAGGCCGGAGGGTGCCCAAACATCAAGACATCATACCAGCAGCCCTGTGAATGATAGACCAAGCGAAACTCTCATGAGCCTTTTCTCGTTTGTCTTTCACGATCTGTTAGCAACCTTGTCTTGAAATTCGGTAGCACCAAGCCACGGCGCAGCCATGCCAAAACCACATTGAACCCAAACCAACCCTTGAACTAAACTGCCAGGCAATCCTCGCCTCATCCCATTTCCAACTGCCCTCTTCATTCTCTTTTCATGACTGTCGCACTCATCGACTTCAACGATGCACCTGCAAGGAAACCTAGCCAGGCCTCATCGCTCTGTTCGGAATGCTCGTCCAGCTCCTGTCATGTTCTAAGCCTTAAGGCTGAACCACCGTGGGGTTCCGCCGACCCTTGCAACAAGCTTTGCTTACCTGCAAAGCCTCCCTAAAATCCGTCAGATTGCTTGTGGGGGACTCCCAGAAGGCAAGAGGGCAGGACATGAGCTTCTGCAATTGCTTCTCGAGACTTCCTTGACACTAGAACCATTAGAATGCTAAGTAGCCACACGCAGGCGGAGTCTGTATGCTAGGTCCTACATGCCTCGGCGATCTCTGATTCGACTTCAACTTCAAACGCCATGGCGTCAGGATGGGGGGGCTGCTCCCTCAGCGGATTGCCACGCAGATTGCATTGACAAAGAAGGGGACTTGACTGTCAAGACCACTCTTTCGTGGCTGGACATTGTTGCTTGACTAGTTGAAAGTTTGCTTGTCGGTCTGCGTGGCAAGCAGCCCCATTCACAGGGACTCTAAAACGCAGGCTCTTGAAGGTTTCCTTCAAAAACCCACGAGAAAAAAAAAACAAAAACTTGAGTCAAATCAGAGGGCTGCAGCCACGAACCTACCAGGGCTTACAAGGGCCACCACTGCAACTGGCCATCTGCCTGCTGTTCTAATGGAAAGCCATCAGATCTCGACCATCAGTGAGATTCTTTTCTCCATCGACGGTACCAAGACTCTCCCAAGGGCTCAAAGTCTTCGGAGTAGCTTGCCTCACTGCAGATGGCCAGGCTGAGGATCATCAAAACGGCATTCGAATTAGATTTGCGAGCCTCGATCACATCAAGTGCCCGTCTAATGGCTGTGAAGTCTGATACTGGACATCGCATGAGTTCAAGCTTCAGCTCCTCGCCCGCAAAATCCAAAGCAACCCCATGGGCGCATGCAATTCACGATGACGTAACAGGCATCCTCTTTCTTGGAGAGGGATAGGCCTGCTGCCTTACGACACCGCGTTCCAAAAAAATCAGCTTGTGTCTGCTACCAGCGCCTCCTTGCGGCGAGCTGTGGCCTGTCCAAACAGCATCAACACCCACATCCATGGATGTGACATATCCTAGTGTTGCACATTCTCCCGCCAAGAGGCGGAGCAGCAGAAAGAGACAAGAAAGAGAAAGCTGAAGAGAGTACAAGAGCAGAAAAAGAAGGCCAGAGCAATAGCCAGGGAGGAAGGGAACCAGGGAGTTACAGTATAATAGGGAGGTAGCCTGGTCGGCACCAATCATGCGATGCAGCATCTTGAAGAGGTGGGACCTTGCAGTTAGAAACATAATGAGCAGTTCTGCTGAAAAGAAGGCAACTGACGCTCCGGCTTTGTGGGAGGATACCTACATGAGCAATCATTCTTCGATGAGCACCATGCTCCAGCAAGTATGAGAAGTGCATGTCCCCGTCAGGACGCACTTCAATGGGCAGGTGAAGGTCTCGGCTAAGTCCAGGAACTCCCGGCCAAGTCCTTGCTTGTAGACTCTTGAACTCTCTTGACAACACCTGGCATCGCTTTGCGTGCGCAGCTGGCTGGCCAAGCCCAGCATGACTCTGCCCTGCAACTGGTCTTACGGTTAGGATCGAGTGTCTGTTGCCCCGAATTCAAACCTCTCTAGATGGCAAAGCCGCCTTGCGCAGTCCAAGGATGGCACGAAGCATCCGTGAAATATCAGACTGCGGGTCTGCCTGTTGCAAAGCACGAGTTGTAGCTTGCCAGCTTCAGGCAAAGATTCTTGCAAACGCACCCGAGCTGCAACAGAAGGCCACGTAACTTCGACTGATGTCTGTTGCCAGCCCAAGGCCTCCTTTCCTTTCAAGATAACCTCAAACCCTGAATTGTCACAAGCAGTATAAATGGGCCAGCATTTTCTTCTCAAACGCGTGTGCTGCACTGCAACAAGAATGTGGCGTCTTCTCAGTCAACCCCATGACTTGCCTGCACTTCTCCAGCACGGTCGGCGCTGAAAAGGGCGGGGTCCTCACAACTGCACGACCAACTTCAGCATCCTTCACATGGGATCAGCCTCACTACGCATCTGAAGCAACTGCGACAGCTTCGAACACCTACAACCCCAGCATGTCCGAGGAACCTGCGATCCTCCCGTCTGCCCTCCCACACGCTAGTCTTCCCCAACGCCGCACTGCGATGACCACGCACTGCACAAACATTCTAAAATATTCTAAACAAACTCCGAAACGCGTCTTGCTTCCGGAAGGCCCAAAATTGGGCGAGTGAGCCCTCAATGATGCTGATTGCTGCAGAGGATGCGCATCATCGGCATTTTTGAGGTCTGTTTTCTTACCCCCAGCCCTTTGCGCTGCTTGCGAATGCTGTTTGGGTTCCGCACTCTATGATTAATTCCTAGAGTTCATCATGGTACTATGCAGGTTTTATGAGTGTGCGATATAGCTTCACCACGTATGCATGGTGGCTTTCGATGGTCTTGCAAGCCTTGCATAAGCTTCTTGATGCGAGTTCTTGACGTATTAACACCAATACGATGATTGAGACACATTCAGCCTGGCATTTCTCGAACCTATCCATTTTGAAAAAGTAGATAGAGTTAGGACAAAGGTAAAGCATAGTGGCAAAGGGTGACTCGAAAGGTAAAGAATGGCAAAGCGAAGACAAAAAAAAGTGAAGGAGAGGTAGAATCGAATGACGGTAGAAACAAAAATAGACATAGGCTGCAGAACATAGATGGAAACAAAGGCACAAGAAAAGTGGAATGAAAGGCAGAGTGCATGGAAAGACAGGTATGGACAGCTAGGCTACTGGAAAGTTGAGAGAATTTCAGGCGCAGAGGCTACAATACCAGGTTGTCAGAGGCAAACAACCTGAAGGAAGAGCATAGGATGAGGGCCGCCAGGGTTTAGGGTTTGCAGACCCAGACCCTCACTAGGACCAAGGTGCGTTTCTGCGGTGTGTTTTCAAGGAGTTGCGCAGGAGCAGAGGTTAGCCGGACCAGCCATTCGTGTGGTAATTTACAGCACTTCGTGTCCTTGTTTGAAAATCTGCGTTTTCTGCCGTGCCTTCCATGCAGAAAGGGTTTGTGCACTGTAAATTACAATATAGGGTCCCTTCTCCGGGCACGAACAAGGTGCGCAAGAAGCTGTTGTTTTCTTGAGCAGGCTCTCAAGTGCGGCTAAAAGCTCCTGCGGAATTGCGGAGCGGACTTTCTCCAAATACACTGACTAACCAGAAGCTCTACAGCTGGGTGAAGCTAGGAGTGGCCATCGACATTCAAGGTGGATTGGGCATGGATGCTCTGGTCGGGGTATGCCCTCGAAACGCGAACGTTATTCTGGTTTGGACATGGATGCTCTGGTCACCGTGTGCTCTCGAAACACGAACGTTATTATAATGGTTTGGGCATGGATGCCCTGCACGTTGTGCTCTCGAAACACGAACGTTATTATAATGGTTTGGGCATGGATGCCCTGCACGTTATGCTCTCGAAACACGAACGTTATTATGTCTTGGGCAAGGATGCTCTGGTCAGTGTATTTCTCCCGAAACCCGAACCTTATTTTGGTTTGGGCAAGGATGCTCTGGTCAGCGTATTTCTCGCGAAACACGAACGATATTTTGGTTTGGGCATGGATGCTCTGGTCACCGTATGCTCTCGAAACACGATCGTTATTCCTGTTTGGGCAAGGACGCTCTGGTCAGCATTTTCTCGCGAAACACGAACGTTATGATGGTCTGGGCATGGATGCTCTGGTAGGCGTATGCTCTCGAAACGCGAACGTTATTATGGTTTGTGTATGTGGAAGAGCGAGAGTGCTTGAAAACCCACGGCAGAATAACTGCTGCTGTTGTGGTGCTGAAGGTGTCCGAAACTCAGGCAAAGACATTTTTGGACGACACGCGGAGCCCTCATACCGTGGTAAATTCTGGCAGCAGCAGATCGCATCTCGCCGATATCCTGCGCGCGTTCCGGCGCCTGTCGATCAGGTATCATCCTGATAAACGCGAAATCGGCCGGTCAGTATCTCCTTATTTCCCAGACCCGGGACATCCTCACCCATCCGACTACGCAGGCCGCAAGCCCTTCATGATGACCTGCTCGCTCGACAGGCTGCTGGCGGCTGGAGTGACACCAAATCTGAATCGTCGGAGCCGGGAGCGACTGGGGGTGCACCCCTGGAACGATCCCTGGAACCAGCAAATGTCCTGGATATTGGGGGAGGGGGTACTATCGTGACGACGGGCCCTCTGACGGTGGAAGCTCCGGCCCAGTCAACCATCAGGACCCCAAGCAGCAACCCATGTTCGAGTTCTTGGAGACTTGGAGAACCTCTCCCCGCATCCGAGGCTACGGTTCACCCCCTCAGGCCCAGGACCCAGCACTCCTCCCAGGAGGTGCAACGCAGTAGCGGAGGTGAATCCTGACATGGACATCAACGGTGCGGGATCACAGCCTACGTGGGGGACGCCCAACCCCGGCCAAGTTCCAAGGCAGGCCCTAGCAAAGCAGGCCTCAGTCCCAAGCGGCTCCCACCACTGGGGCGCTCCCCCCCATTGCAGTCCAGCGTGGAAAATAACCAAGCAGTGAACCTCCTCCTGGACTACCTGTTCCCCTCTGGACACGCGTGAGAGAAGTGGAAGTTCGAATCAATGGGGGTCTCCCCCAGAGTTTACTGCCAAGACTAGTCCGTTCCTACTCGTACAAAGCAAGGCAGAGGCAAGCGCTCGACCCTTCCTTTTTGACGCGAGTGGCTGAAGTCCAGTGCAGGTCAGAAGTCGGCAGACAGCACACCACTGGACAGAGAAGCGGCGTGCTCTACACCTGCTGGCGGAGCACTACCGCCTGCACGAATGGGTGGGCCAGAATCCATCCCCACCCATGAAGCAGAGCAACAGAAACAGAAGTCCACAGAAAGGTGG